CTTCCGGACATCAGAGAGAATATCGACTCGACTCTTGGAAAGAACTATCAATCTTCTCTGAAATATTACTTTGAATACAACTTTCCCGGAAGGAAAAGTGTGAAGAAGACCGTATCGGGACGTTCAAATAGACATATTCGGAAGTAACAGAAAGTAATGTAATAAAAAGAAGAAGAAGAAAGTGCTAATTAGAAAATAAAAGAAGAGAAATGGTATTAATTACAAGAGATGAAGAAGAAAAAGAAGATGTGGAAACAAGAAAAGAAAGGAAAGAAGGAAGAAAGAATGGAAGGAAGGAAGGAAGGAAGAAAATGTCGACGAAAAAGAAGGAAAAATAAATGGTTGAGCAAACAGGAAACGGAAAAGTGAACGATAAAACGCGAAAAAATCAGATGAAAAATCAAGAAGGAAAAAAATCGATGATGCTTAAGAGAAAGAAAGGAAAATGGTGTTTTAAAAAAAAGAAATTAAAAAAGGAGTAATAAATAAAAAAAAGTAGGAAAGACAAAGAAAGAAAAAAAGAAAGAAAAGAAAAATAAAAGAAAGAAAAGGGGAAATAAAAAAGAAAAGGAAGACGATTCTTCAAAGAAAGAAAGAAAGAAAGAAAGAAAGAGACGGTACTTAAGGAAAAGACGTACGAAAAACCTATTGGCAAATGCAGTGAGTTCGATTCCAAATGGTTATTCGGTTATTCCGCAGCTATGGCATCGTAAGAATTGAAACAAAGTCCGAAAGAAAATAAATGTGAAGGGAAAGAGAAAGAAAGAAAGAAAGTTAAACTTAAAGGATGGAAAAAAGAAAACAAAAAGCGATGGAATCATATTTTTAAATAAATAATTATATTTAGTCTCTACTTTTGTATCGAGCACTGTTTTTTTTAAAAAATAATAACAAATACTAAAGAACTTTGGCTTATTTACCTAACGAGTTCTTTCCTATTTTCTATATATTTTCACACACACACACACACATATATATATATATATATAAAGCACTGATAATTATTGCGTAGTGGAGTCATAGGTTCATAGGTTGGGTGTGGTCTGTTGCAACTCTGTCAAGTTTTTGCAGCTTAGTGATTAAAGTATCTGATGCGGTCAACTAATCTTTTCTTTTTACACAAAATGGACATGAGTTCAAATCCCATTCGAGATATTTACTGTTATTTCTCAATCTACAATTTTTTTAATCATTTCGCCCCCAAAGCAAAGCAAGAAAATTAACGAGAATGCAAGAGGTTACTGAGATTGAAAAGAACAAAACAGAGAGGCCAATAGATGAACAGGTCTCAAGGAGACAGAAGATGACGTTAGGGATTTTATTGCATTTAAATTTCTGAAGATCGTAGTTGACGAGAAAGCAGGAAACTGAAAGAAAGTTCCACAAGCGAAAAGTGCGGGAGAAGAAACACTTAGCATAGCGGTTAAAACTAGTAATTTCAGCTGTGAAATTAATTTATAAGACCTATCTGCCAATCTAGTGCTGCGCTTAAATTCGTGAAGTCGAGATACTAATGAGGAAAACTTAGAAAAATCACAATAAACAAAACATATCTACAGAAGAGGCAAAAGGAAGCTCTAGTGTGACAGTGGGAAAGTGACAGAAGTCGATATGCCAGGCCAGTACCGATAACGTTGCATATTCTTTGTTGGATTTTGTCAAGAATCTCTAGATATAAAACAGAAGCACCAGACTAATTGTGGTAGCAATAGTCAATGCACGAACGAATTTTAGTGGACTATAGAGGAAGCCACCAGAGTGCTTTAGACCGCTCGTCCACGGAGAGTATCACAACCCAATAATGTTCAATTAACGTTTTAAGAGTATTATGTTTTGCTATATCTCTGCGTAGTAGTAGTCGTAGTACAATTCTCTGTGTCCTGAATAGCAACCGGATTTGCTAGGCATAGCCACCCTATGTTCGCCAGTTGTTCTCTATTTATACTTGTCTATCTAATTTGCATACGATGCTACACCTCCCTGAATCAGAGAGGTCGTATACCCTTTTTTTTCTTTTAATATTCTTGATTATTTTCGTATTGTGTTGTCCTTCCTCTTGTTTTTCTTGTTTTCTCTTTAATGGTGATTTCAGTCTTTCTTCATCTTCTTCTTCATACTCGTCTCTCTTTTCATTTTCACTTTCTTCCATTTCCTGCTCTGTTCCACTTTTGTAACTTTCTCTCTTTTTAGTTTTTCATTCTTGAAAGTACAGCAAAAGTTCTTATCCATGTTTCTATGTGTTCTGGGTCATCCAGCAAATTTAACGATCCTATCGGCGACGCCATTGTTATGTTTTGCATATCTCTCTGCGTAGTAGTAGTAGTCGTAGTACAGTTCTCCGTGTCCTGAATAGCAACCGGTTTTGCTAGGCATAGACTCTATGTTCGCCAGTTGTTCTCTATTTATACTTGTCTATCTAATTTGCATACGACACTACAAAGAGAATGTACATACACTCTTTAAGATATCCCTGAAAGACGATGTCTTCTGGACAGTCCATATCAACTGAATTTTTATTTTCTTATCCGAAGTGTAAGCAAAGTAATTTTTAAATCAACGTCCCATGTTAATTTATTAAACAGCGTTTATTTCGATTTTTCGATTGTCCAGGCCGATAGACGTAATACCCACTTTTTAATAAATAAAAATTGGGCGTCTATTTCAAATAAGAAGTCTCCACTATCATAACGTTTGACATAATAGAAGTTGTCGGATAAAAAACAAATCCATCAATTCTTAGAAATTGTTTTGTCTACGTTTCGGATACGAAACTAAGTAGATATGGATTCTCGAGAAAAATAAACTGACTTCAGAAGATGTGTTGTCCTTAAATATGGTAAAAAGAGCCTCGATGTCTAATGAAACCCTTCGAGCTGTCCGAGCTGCAAAGCATGACGGATCAAACGGTGTTTTCCCCTATAAAGGGGGACGCAGTTCCGATCCCTGTCGAAGGACACAATTTCTTCACTAATATTTCTCGAATGCACAGGCCGATAGACTTAGTCCACACTTCTTTATTAAATAAAAATGGGGCGTCTATTTAAAATAAGAAGTTTTCACTGAAATAACGTTTGAAGCAATAAAATTGTCGGATTAAGAATAAATGGATTAATTCTTTATATATATATATATATATATATATATATATATATATATATATATATATATATATATATATTCAGTACATATACCTCCCACATATATCCTCTAAAATACCCACCACATAATGTTAATGTATTAGTAACAATGGCGTCTTTATTTAGCTGTTTTACAATTATGTAGAAAATATTTTTGGTAGTATGTTCGCAGGACTAAGCAACTAAAACAACAACAACAACAACAACAACAATAATAATAATAATAATAATAATAATAATAATAATAATAATAATAATAAATAATCTCAGAGGGACCCTTCGTCCTATCGTACTTCTATTTCGCCAAAACATTTAAATTTCTTTAATTTGGATTATCTCCCTTGCCTTTTTTCTGTCCTCCATTTTTTTCTGTCTCTTATTCCTCTCAGATTTACTGCTTCGATAAAGGCCCCTTTTCCGTTCTCAATTTCGATGCAAACTAGTTCGTCTGTTCATCTCTCATTTGTTTTCTTAATACAAATCTTTTTAAAGACCATTCCTCCTTCGACTCCCGCTTTTTGCCAGAAGCTTCGACTGTTTCGTTTTAAGTTTTGGTTTTGCCATCCATAAATAATGACGTTTATTCTTTTTTGACAGTCTGTCTTTTGATTTCCTCCATATATTATCTGAGCTTCCTCAATTTCCCGATTTGGTTTCCTTCCGACATTCATTTTTCCTTTCTAAAGTAATTCGATTTCGTTGTACAATTCTGTTTTTTATTTCCTTTCTTATTTCTTGTATTTTTCTTTTTTTTTTTTGCCTTTCTTTTATGTATTTGTCTTTGGTACATTTTTGGTCTTTGCTCTGACTTTTTCGTTTTTGAATTTTTATTTATTTCGTTTATACTTTCTATCATTTAGCATTGTTCAATCTTAAGAATTTTGTAATTTTTTTTTCTTTCGAATTTTTCCTATTCTTTCTGTCATGCTTTCTTTTTCTTTCTGCAATTTTTCTGTCATTCATTGTTTCTTTCTTTCTCTATTTGTAAATCGATTTCTCCATCCATCCATTTTTGTTTGTTTTTCTTTTTTATTCCTTCCTTCCTTAGATAATTTCTATCAAATTCTTTTTTGATTCGTGTTTTCTCTCTTTTTTCCTTTTTTGCATTGCCATTCGATTTTCTTTCTTCCTTACTTGTAGTCTAATTTTTGTTTGTTTGTTTGTTTGTTTGTTTGTTTCTTTCTTTCTTTCTTTCTTCACTTCTTTATTGATTTCCTTTTTTTCTTCGCTGCTTTTCTTTTTCCATCTTTCTTTCCTTTCTTCATTTCTTTCTTTCTTTCTTTATTTATTTCCTTCTGTATTTCTTTCTTTCTTTCTTTCTTTCTTTCTTTCTCCGTTCCCTGCAATAATTTCTTATCTATTTTCTTGAGGTTTTTCGTTCAATTTACATCGATTTATTAATCTCTTTAATACTAATCTTTTCCCATTTCTCCAAATGAAAACATCCTCTTCCTTCCTTCCTTCCTTCCTTCCTTCCTTCCTTCCTTCCTTCCTTCCTTCCTTCCTCTTCTTTCGACTACGACATCATTTTTCGCTTTCATTCAATTCCAACCCAAGCCTTAAACAAACACCAGATCAACAAACCCAAACAACGTGTGGAGATGATACAGCCAGTGGAGGGTCCGAGGTTAGAACACAGAGGTTTTACTTTGCCATTTTGATAAAACGAAACCATAGTCTCCTAAACTAATCTCACCAGATAGGGACAGTGAAGCTAGTAAAGGGGGAATTAAAGTAAAGCAAGGTCTAAACCAGCGCTCGGACGAGGGCTTCACGATAAAGAATGTCCAGCCAGGCTTGACTGAACTATCCACCATGGCTAATCCTCGACTGCCGATACGTCTACCCACAACCCAGGCGCGGTCCCCTCGTCTACGCTGACAATGGCTTTTGCCTGGTTCGGGCTCTTCGTTTTGTCTTTCCCGTCAGAAATGGCGAAATTCTAATCGGTCATCTATAACGAGTCGGCAGTTCTGTGCAATCGTACGGGTTTGATTTATTTAGCGCAGCACATTGATATTCGATAACCGTTGGCTGACTGAGTTTAGGTTGTCTGTGAGTGGGGTTTGCGATCAGAAAGCGCGTACGGTGTAAGAGAAGACGATTGAAGAATTGGTGAGGCCCAACATTCTCGGACACTAATAACTGCATTTCATATGAAAAATTACAAACAAATTGAACGAATAAATCAAAACCACACGATTGTCACCATTCACTCCTCCTCGCGTATATATATATATATATATATATATATATATATATATATATATATGTGTGTGTGTGTGTGTGTGTGTGTGTGTGTGTGTGTGTGTGTGTATATATATATATATCTATATATATATATATATATATTGCATGTGTGGGTACAGGCACACATAAGTGCAGAGAGACAAATATATAAATATATTCACACATGTAAAATACGTAGTATACAGACAAGAACACACATACATGTGTAAACGCTACTAGTTCTTCCGAGATATATAAACATCTATAGATCTATAAAACACACATAGATATATACTTGTGGACATATATAAATATGTGTAATTAAACACATACACACACACACACACATATATATATATATATATATATATATATATATATATATATATATATATATGTAAAAGATAAAAAATTTATATATGTTGATACATATATGAACACGTTTACCCCACTCATTTATATATATATATATATATATATATATATAGATAGATAGATAGAAAAAGATAGATGTATTATTCCTGTAGATTTCCCGATGTATACACATACATACATTTATAAACACAGATGCATAGGTAAATATATATATATATATATATATATATATATATATATATATATATATATATATATGTTTGTGTGTGTCTGTATTATGTGTATCTGTATACAATATATATATATATATATATATATATATATATATATATATATATATATATATATATATATATATATAAGTGTTAGAATTGCCGGACAAAGAATTTTGGGAATTTTTAAGATACTATTTCTTGATTCTTTTATAATATCGGCGGGTAGCGAATGCAAGAATTGTCCATTATTTTGATATCGAGCGCTTTCAATTGGCCGACCAGCCTTTGTCAAGACCAGGAGATGATAATGTGAATATTTATTGTTGTACGATGTATAATAATGCGGCAGACAACGAAAGAATGCTCTTGCATCAGCTCTCCTAACCTCAGCTAATCAGTTTGTAAGACAAACACATATACATTATAGCCTGACTGCCAAAAATGCATTTATCATGATCATATGTGCCATTCACTAGAATACCGCATTTGCAAAGGGGAGATAACTGATGACGATGGAACTGCTAGTATTGTTAAATTTATATTTCAGCCGTTCGTCTTTTTGCGTCTTATTCACCGCGAAGGGCATAATAATAGATGGCAGATATTGTCAGAGATATTTATATTTTAGGGATACTTCATAGATAGTTTCTACATTCAATTTTAATATTAATTTTAAATCTTTTTAGAAAAAATAAATAAATAACATTATTGTTATTATTATTATTGTTATCTTCCACATCTTTTTTTTTCCTTTTCAACCTGAGATCTTGTATTATAAGTACTCTTCATCAGTTTCTACGACCTCAAACAGATAACGCTTTTCTTGGAATATTTGCAGTGCCAAGAAACCTCTGAAGTGATGGGCTACTAGGCGTTATTCCGCTTTTCTTAATGTAGGACTTTAAATTCGGTGGTATGTTTGATGGTATAGATTACCATCACCTGAATGATAACTGGGACAATAGTGACCTGAACATCTCATATTATAGTAACATCATTCCGGAGGTCACTATTTCTTCAGTTTAATTTCTTTGACCTTCATATTATTATTATTATTATTATTATTATTATTATTATTATTATTATTATTTTCTTTGATTTCTGGCGTTTACATTTCTTTCCGGTCCCGCCCAGGGACCTAAGGTTAGAAAATGGCATCATCCACTTCCACTGACAAAAAAAAAAAAACAAACAAACAAATTACATAGATAAAGACCTTCGTAAAGTGTGGGCTGTACTTGTCAGAAAATTTTTTTGTATCTCTTTGAGTCATGAATTCCTTCAATTAGTCTACTGCAATCTTTTCCAACCAGTCCTAGGGCTCCAACTACAACAGGGATTGTTGATGTTCCCATATGCCACATTTTCGAGATTTCTATTTCAAGGTCCTTGTATTTTGACAGCTTTTTGAATATCTTCAAAGATACATTGCAGTCAGCAGGGACTGCCATATCAACAAGTAGGCACCGTTTTTGTTTGTGGTCTTTAATAACAATATCTGGGCGGTTGGCTTTGATTGTTCTGTCAGTGTGTATTGTGTAGTC